AGTTGAAATGTAGCTGTCACCGGAGACAGTTGAATTGGAACAGTCGCCGAGTTCAGTTGTAGCAGAAAGAAGAATACTGGAACGTGTGATTAGAAGTGATAGTGTGAGAAGCAGATGCTTGGCTCACAAGACAAATAAGTGGGAGTGTGTGATACAGTGACACTTGTATAGCTCCCGTATCGTACCGTGAATATGTGTAGACTACTGAAGATAGAGTGAATGCAATACTGTGTAGGGTTGTAAATTATGTAAAGCCATAAGTGTTATAATTAATTGTAGCCAAGACTTGTAGGTTTTTAAATAAACCAATTAACAATCCGAACAGCGTCTTCATTGGAAAAAACACGTTACAATATGTTAGCCATGTATTTGCGTGATGATGGGTTTTAATAGCCAAAACATGTAGCAGAGCCAAACCTGGCACTGACCTTAATATAGTTGTTTTGTGGTGGTTTTAATAAAGAAATTGTATATTATAACACAACAGGATGAATGAAATGAAAATTAGACAATACTCTGTGCACAATCACATTATGTATACCAGCCAGTAAAATTAATGGTAAGTGGGTGATACGTTTTAGCCATATACTATGATAGTTATCAGTATAAGAAGCTCTGTGATCCAACTGTCCATCATCAGTTATGCTCTTTAGATCTTTTTGGTGAATGTTGTGCAGCTTCACACTCTACCTCTCCATTGTCTCACCCAGGGTAACTCTGTGGTTCATTCACATCTAACTTGACGGCAACATCCCTTTGGTATCAGCACTCCACACACTCAGTTCAGCTCCACTCAACTCCTTGTCATCTGCTCTTCTTATAAGCATGTCGTATGAAGGGAATACTCTACAAGGTTTGAGGGTGACCATAGTCTTGCACATGAGGTGACTGGACTCCTGAACATTCAGCAGAGTTCAGATGGTACATGCACAGCCCTGCTATGTCCTACGCCTTCTGGTTCCTCAGAGGAAGGGGTCTAAATGTTTAGATGGGACAAGTGTCACGTGAACACTGGACAAAACAATCGTGTGCTCATGGCCAATTCCCACAACAACACTTTGTGAGACTGTGCACATGGTATTGTTTTAGTCAAAATTTCACATTGCTCGTACTTAAACACAATACAGAAGCAGAGATCTTCTGCTAAGTGTATTGTGCTCTTCAAGAGGTTTCCTCACAGGTAGGTTTAAAGTAAACTGCATGTGAAACAAAGCATGGATAATAGCACAGAGACAGACACAAAACTGGAATTAACATTATTAGTATAAAAAAGTAACAAATGTTGTTTGAACAATAAATAGTTGCTATTTTTTTGTACATGGTTTGTAACCAGCTGTCAACCTATGTGATAGTTCATAATGCACATATTAATTAGCACTCTGTACCATTCGCGATACAGAACCTAAGAACTCCTTAACTGATACAAGAAAATAATTGAAATATTAAATTAATAGACAAGTAGTACATTTTCTAATTTACTCTGGGCACCTGGAAGCATATTATCGTTGTATCACTGTTATCACACTCTACTTGTATGTACGTTAGGCCAGTTCAGTCTATTATGTGCCATCTTTGGCTTGTGCTTACTGCTTTTAAAATATATTTCTAACCTCACATTTACTGAAATAAAAAGAACCTTTTTTGGAAGACTTCATATGAAAGGAACTGATGTATATTCCAGTCACTTTTCTGTATACTGAATAATAAAACCAACATTAAGTACAATATCAGAGAATGATCCATTCCCAATAAAGTATTCACACAAAGCATACCAATACAGATTCCACTGCCTTTCACTCTGAGCCAATCTAACAAGCACTAAATAGAAATACCCTTATGCTCTGCACTCATGTATGAACAAATTCCTTGGAGCTGAGTCCTTAGAAGCCATCAGTTGCTCAACTACTCAAAAATTTCACATTTTAAGGAAGCTGAAGATTCATTACTGAGTTCACAAGAGCCCTCCACTGGTCCCTGACCTGAATCAGGCAAATCTAGTCCATACTACCCCATCCTAATTCTCTAAGATCCATTTTTATATTGACCTCTCACCTATATCTGGGTCTTCCTAATGGTTTCTTTCCTTCTGTATAACTGGAACAGTCATTTGTAGTCCATTCATTATAATCTCAATCTTCTTCTAAGAATCAAAATCTTTATGTTTATTTTAACACATTCACTGACATTCCCATCACCTTATATGTTAAGTTCAGTGTGTGCCAGTGCCAAGCCCATCCAATGATTGGCTATAATCTCTTGTGAATGTAAATGCCATTTCCTCCTACAGATGCCACTCAGATGCACAGAAACTTTAAGTGCAGCTTGATGAAACAGAGTGTCTTCTGATTCCACAAACTAAACAAGAGTCAAGCACAAAAACTGGACAGATTACGATACAGGGCACTGAGAGAAGCCCCAGGGTATAGAAATAGTATACCGACAAATGTAATTTTGGCGGACAGTAATGAGCCGCCAGCGCACCTGAGATTGATATCTAGACCAAGGTGTCTACAGAAGAAGGCGTGGATATAAAATACTCCCTGGACTGCAATGGAGAGTTTCTGTGTAGGTTTGAAGATGCACAGAAGAAAAGCACATGCTTCACAACAAATGACTCCAAAAGAGAAGGAAAGTAATTCACCGGGTACACACTCCTAGACATAAAACAGGAAGCCACTGAAAAGCAGAAAACATTGAACATTGCGTCCATTTTCATAGCAGGGGGGTTAGCTATAGCTGAAATGAACCCAGCAGGTTTATAGTCTTGAGACTGCAAAAGCTGGATACAGGTGTTTGGGGGGATTCCAAAACTAACACTGCATCATACTTTGCATGGGATTTGAGCGACAAAATCAGACAGCTCGAACTGACAGGCAGAAGAAATGAGTTCTTTTCGATTCCAGCTCATTAGGGTGTCAAGAGAAACAAAACAGCAGACTCAGGAGCCAACCTAAGACGCATTACTTCCTGATATACTGACAGATTTGAGAGGGAAGAAAACAGCAGTCAGCAACACATTAATGTCATGTCCCCGTAACAGAGCACCCACACAATAATTGAATTTCTTGCACAGTTTGTTCGCACCAATTAGATTGACTCTTACAATGTAAAGTTTAATGTTGCATGTTACAAATTAGAGAGGCAGACCGATTTTTCAGAACTGGAAACTTAGGTTTATAAGGGGGGAAATGGTGGCAAGAAGTAGCGAGGCAGTGGTTGCAGCTACACTGAGGGTGGGTGATCCACTGTAACTAAGGCCCTGTTATAACCCATACATATGAATGAATAAATGTACAATGGGTGGGCCCTCTTGGCCCTTACACCGCAACCACAGTGATCTATTGTGCTTAACCCATACACATCCAATAATCCTTACTTCAATTAGTGGATGCATTCTGATGAGAATGGCCAGTCTAAAAATATGGACAGGACAGTCCACTATACTACCTAACACATATAAAAATCTAAATTTTAAACTACTCACAGCAACTTCCAATGTCCTGAAACAGTTGTCTTAGTTCTAAGACACACATACTCAATTACACACATGGCTTTCCAAGGGGGAATATTGAATTTGGTCCCACTGTGCATTAAGTGGAAGAGTAAAACACTGCAGCTGTCTGCAATAACAGTGGAGACAGTATGAACACAAATTTCTTTCTGTTCTTTACCATTTAACTATATGCAGTCTGCAACAAATGTACATACAGCCAGGTATATTTGTAGTTTATTTAATGATGCTGTCAGTAATTCACACTAGACAGTGTCAAATTAATGGACATTAGTATATAATGAATTTGAAAGGATGTTGAAGGGAGTGGTATTAGCCTAATATTAAAGTAGTATCTTGGCATTTGCCTGAAGGAACCGAGGAAAGCCATGAAGAAACTCAGCCATGATACAATAATTGAGTTTTTGGACATTATCCATCATCCTGTTTCTTATTTAAAATATAACTCAATAATTGTATTAATATACAATCATCACAAACTTTTAGATCTTATTTATCAGTCATAACAGTTCGTGTCATGGCTGAGATTCAAACCAAGCATTTCCTGAATACAACTCAGAAGTGTCAACGCTTGAGCCAATTTGCTCAGTCAGTAACTGGACAGAGAAATAAACGAGTGAGATTTGATGGATTTAAGGTTGTGGTAGTGACCATGAAAAGTATGGCCTTCAGAGTTGTAATGCCACATAGTTCAGAGATAGCCTAATGTTTTGGATAATCATATCACTTCCATCTTCAAGGTTAACAAGTAAGCCAAGCAATAAACCAGTACAGCTTCCTGCCTTCTTCTGCTGGGTTCTCACTTGGCTTACTTGTTAACACTGAAGATGGAAGCAGTATGTTCCTCCAAAATGTCACATTTTCTCTGAGCTATGTGGTATTAAACCCAGAATACTGTATTCATGTGAGATCTGAGTTCTCATGGCAATAAGTATCAGGATTATGGTCTTCTGGGATGTGACACCGTGTAGTGTGGTAGATGTGTAACAGCGTTTCAGAGGAGTCTGCTGCCTCCATCAGGTTCTTAAGAGTTCTCTGTGTTATTCTGAAAGGAGGGCTCAAGCGGTTAGTCGCTGGCTTCCCACCATGGCAGCCCGAGTTCGATCCCGGGTCTGGTCAAGTGGGATTTGTGATGGACAAAGTGGCGCTGGGGCGGGTTTTCTCCAAGTACTTCGGTTTCCCCTGCCAATCTTCATTCCACCAATTGCTCCACAATCAGCCTCACCTATCATCTGGGGCTAGTACAATAGGCCACAAGTGGCCGCAGTACAAGGGACTTAGTCCCACCCCACTAGCAATAAAAAAAATATTCTGAAAGTAATCTGAAACAGCATTCAGGCAAGGCATCCTCACATATTGCAGACAGCATTATGGTAACATAAATATATAAAACAAAACATTGCTTAAATAAATAAGTACATATTATTATGATGGAAAAGCTGTCTAATCATCACACTGGTACCTACAAGTCATGTTCATTGCAATTCTGTTTATAAACAATTAGTCACCAGACATTGCAGTTTACAGTGGTTTCAAGTTGATAAATATGCAGCTCATTATGCTGTTTTAATACAGCATCGCTCTTAATAGGTCAATATCCACCAATCACAAAGACACAATAAAATTTTATATATTTAATTCTGTACCATCTTTACACAATCAATGTTTGTATGTACATCCTTAGGTATCATGTACAATGCCCATTATAAAATTGGTTATGTGCTTGAACCTCTGTTAGGTCATCTTCAAGCCACACACATATGCATTTTTATCAAACTGCCATGTCTGTCATTCTACATATATATATATATATATATATATTGAATGACTGAATCATGTTTGAAACATGTAGTCAAATGAATATCATATGTAACTGATAAGGATTTATGGACTAACACTGGTCATGTAAAGGCAGTACAGAATTAAATATAGAAAGCTCAGAAAAAATGGCATGACACTCAAAGTTAAAAAATAAAATATAAAATCCATTATTTGTCAGTACGTTCTGAGAATTGAGTCAGCATTTAGAACCATGTAACATTTGAGATACAAGTTCTGTGACAAGTGAAAGAATAGAGAAAAATACACACACAAATAATAGCATAAGAAACTCCATATTAATTAAAATAAACTGAAACAACACCGGAAGTTTTGCTTCATTACTGAAAGTGGGTGTGAAGCAATTGTTTTTTAAAGCTTTACAATTCATAATGTGCAATAACATTGAATATAAAATGTTAAAATTATTGTCTTTTTAACATTTTATTTTTTATGCAAGACTACAAAATAAACTGGAAGGAACTTCTTGAAAACACAATCTCTAATTATGATCCCCCTACTTATAAAAGAATAAGGTATCAACCTGAAGGAACTGGACTCCATAGAAGGGGTGAAAAATCCTGTTTCATAATACACCTCTACCAGGCCAACTAAGCAACTGATATTCTTTGAATTCATACATATTTGGTGATTTAAGGATTTCACTATAACAAATTTTTTGCACAACCAATTCCATAAACATGTTCAACATGCTGGAAATTACAGTAAACACAAAATTTTCTGCCTCATTAGAAATATTATACTGTAGCATCGTACTATGTCGACTGAATAATAATAAAAAACATTTTCTACCACATTTTGTGGTAGCCTTGTTAAATGCAACAATCACTTCTATCTGGTAACATTTCAAACCACTTGACCAGCATGCCCGTACTTATACAGAATAGATGTTGGAGCAAAGTGTGCACATACATTTACTCATATTTTGAAACTGTCATGTGATTCCATCTCAGATGGAAATACCCAGTTCCTGAGAGCTTGACAAATGGCAAGAATGTGTACAACCAAAGGACCAAGCCACTTGTAAAATGAAATGGTGATGAACATTTATGCTTCATCTGTTATGCGGGCTGTTCAAATGTGACCTGTTTTTCGCCCAGGGCCAGATGAAGATGCAAAGCTGGCAATGGTGCAGTGACTTCAGCAGCAGCCCAAAGATGAGATCTATTTGCTGGCCACATCAATCAGATACCTGCCTTACTGACCATAGGGACCATTTTTAATAGTGTCTTTTCCTTCACCCAGACCAACACCCAACAAGATTTCATTTGAACAACCTTGGATCATGTGTTGATACATTCTGCCATTCTTGTATGCTTTCAAGTCATCACATACACTGGTCAGGTATACAGATGAACAGTAGTTACACACAACCATACTCATACCATATGGAATTTTCACCTTTTCCCTTTGTCTTTGTTGATCGTTTGCTCTCTTCTGCTGTGTTTGTGGTTGGGGCTAGGCTTCCCTGGCTGGGACTTGGTGGACCTTGAGTGGTCACCTGACTAGACTCATCCACTCCACCAATTACAGTTGATATACGGTTGTACACAAGAAATGACCTGCAAATAAATTTAAATTTAATCACAAACATCCACCTGATTAACAAATTCCACAGTATGGGATCATCCACAGAAAGATATTCGACTAAATACTGCTTGACAGCAGGACTTAACGAAGCCAATACAAAAGCTAACACTGGACACAACCCAGAGTCAGCTGCATCCATCTACAATTCTTGACCTATCTCTCTTTATAAAGGGGGGCACGCAGTAGCACAGTTGGTTGAGGCACTATGCTACAAGCTGGAAGGTCACAGGTTTAATTCCTGACGAGGTCATTGGATTTTTTTAATTGACCTAATCCTTCTAGCTGCACTATGGCCCTGGGATTGACTCAGCTTCTAACAGAAAGGAGTACCAGGAATCTTCCTGGGTGTAAAGGGCAGTTGGCATGAAAGGCTGACAACCTCACTGCCATTCATAAGTCGACTGTCTAGAAAGTGTGGGAGCCTTGAAGTCTCACAAACCCATGGGCCTGCACAGACTGATACAGGGGTTTTACCTTTTTACCTATCTCTGTTTACAACATTACTATCATTCCCACAACGTGCCACAGCTCAAATGGTTAGTCGCTAGCTTCCAACTGCGGCGGCCCTGGTTCAATCCCGGGTCTGGTCAAGTGGGATTTGTGGTGGACAAAGTGGCACTGGGGCAGCTTCTCTCCGAGGACTTCAGTTTCCCCTGCCAATCTTCATTCCACCAATTGCTCCACAATCACCCTCACCTATCATCTGGGGCTGGTACAATATGCCAGAAGTGGCCGCAGTACAAGGGACTTAGTCCCACCCCACTAGCAATAAAAAAAATCATTCCCACAAAGAAAAATCTGCACTGCAACTTCAGAAACTGTTTAGGTTACATATCATGCCATAATCTAGTGTGAATATGCCTTACTATCATGTCTACTATTCAAAGTTTATGTATTCACTGTTGTCACAATCCCATTACAGTCTTTCTACCATTTTTACTGTAAAACATGCAAAGTTTATGTTTTCACTGTTGTCACAATCCCATTACAGTTTTTCTACCATTTTTAGTGTAAAACATGCAAAGTTTATGTATTCACTGTTGTCACAATCCCATTACAGTCTTTCTACCATTTTTACTGTAAAACATGCAAAGTTTATGTATTCACTGTTGTCACAATCCCATTACAGTCTTTCTACTATTTTTACTATAAAACATTCAAAGTTTATGTATTTACTGTTGTCACAATCCCATTACAGTCTTTCTACCATTTTTACTATAAAACATGCAAAGTTTACGTACTCAGTGTTGTCACAATCCCACTCTTTTCATTTCTTACAGTTTAATGTACAGCTATCTCGTAAGAGGCTATGGAGGCCCACAGGGTTGTGAAATGTCGAGGCCCCCCACATTTTCTATACAATTGACACACAGATGGTAGTGAGGTCGTCAGCCCTATGCACTGGCTACCCTCTAAACCCCAGGAATCTTCCTGGTACTCATTTGTTAGAGGCTGAGTCGACCCCAGGGTCATAATGCGGCTAGGAAGATTAGGTCAATGGAAAAATCCAATGACCTCATTGGGAATCGAAACCATGACCTTCCGGCTTGTAGCACAGTGCCTCAACCAACTATGCTACTGTGATTTCTTACAGAGGAAGTAATAGGGAAATAAAATGGCTTACTCATAGACCAAACCCCATTAGCATATAAATAAAATTAACAGTTTTCTTGGGGTTCTCTCTCCAAGTGAAATATCTTTTGTGCTTACCAATTTTTTCCAAATATGGGGGAAATGGTGGGGGCAGAACGAATTTGGCAATTATGTACATAGATCCTACATTGTAATTCAAAGCTACTTTATACAGCAGAAACCTAGTTCTTCCTGAATTTCATGTTTTCTGGGCTGTGACATCATGTACTCAGATAGGAATTTAATTCCTCCATCTTCAGGGCAGAAAATTGAGACAACAGGTTCGGCATTAGCTACATAATTAAATGGTGTCACACCCAAGAAGACCATACACTTAATATTCATTGCCATGAGAACCTGAAATCCCATTTTACGTTTTCTTCATTTCATGTTCATCTCCTATGTTTCCACCACAAGTGCGAGTATGTTCAAGTTAAATTTATTTTATTTGCGTTTCCCCAGTTTATTCAAATGCCAATGTCACCCAGTGGCACTTGAAATCAATCCTACCCATAAAGAGCATGTGTAAGAAGTAGCACAGCTGCGTAAGAGACGACTGTACCTTGAATCCTGTGGTGTGGAAGGGCATGGTGCTTCTGGAGCTGTTACATTATCAAATGTTACATCTTGCTCCTTGCTCTGAAAAAGAAAACACTGCCTATTTAAGTACTGTCATCTGTATGAGTGATTCATAAGTTGGGGTTTAGATTGGATGACTGAATTTATTAACACCTTATTTTACAATCATTCATAATCACAATAAATTATAGCACTATCTCTTATCTATCCACTTCACAAATCACCAGGACATGCTAGGTCCTTTTAGACTTCACTAGTTGTATCCTGGCAACAGATTCGTAAGTCTCACTGCAACTACAGCACACATAAAGTCTTTCTTCACAGGCTGACTTTCAACTGACAACTGAACTGAACAATGACTGAACTGTCAATTATTGTTTGCTTCTCATTATATAGACTCAGGTCAGACCACAGCACAGAAAACACATCTGTTGCCCAGCAATGGACATATGCGAACCATGCAGAAAACACCTCTTGTAACACTGGTTCTATTGTTGCGTGCATGTATTGTGGTCATTATCTAGAAATGGGTCTACTCTATCGTTGGTTATATGTTGCAGGCTTGTTTACCGATGCATTTCCTAGTAATGGGTCCACATGTCATAGTATGATAAATAAAGAAATAACTAAAATTTATTTCCACATGTATCTATGAGAAAAGGACTGAATCCTGGTGAGAAACGCATAATCCTCTTGTGGGACCTCAACAAGTCAACCTGAGCCTCAGATTCTCGCAAGGTCACACTTTTTGATAAGGCCAAAAGGGAGGCATCATCCAAAAGGATCTGCTGGTTTGTCTGGAGGCTGTAGGAAAGTAATCTTCAACTTTCATTTAATTATTATAGAAGTGATACATATTCACCACACAATGAAGGAGTACGTGTGGAATGAAGGCAGAGCTCCACACAGAACTGGATGGACATCACCAGTCAGCTTCATGCTCTGGCTGCATTGCATAGGTACAATCTCTATCACAGTGCACAGTTTCCAAATACATTCTGTGCAAACTGGCATTCTGAATTCACATTATAACGTGAATGTACGCTTGCTAAAATTTGTTCCTATGCTTACTTTGGTTTTTATCATTATTATTAGAGGTACAGTCAGCACAATTCTATTATTACTACAGTTCTGTTTCCTATGGTTACCAAGGTTATTACATTTCAGTAGCTGCACTCCTGTTGCCCCTACCTAACCATCCATGTATATCCCATATTGCTATTACTGACAGTAGCAAATTAAAAAGTACAAATTTGGGGTGTCCTCCAGTGGCATAATGTTCATATCAAAATCAAAATCTGCACAATGGTTCACAAATTGAAATGTGCAGATGTCTCGAGAGACATGGCTGTCATTATATACACTATTTTCTTGCATTATAAAGAGCTCTTACCAATCATCTAGTCAGCTTTTAAGAAATAACTGTGTAGAAATTCAAAATCAGTACTCGTATATACAAATTTTGTTATAGAAATCATATGGAACTCTTTGTTGAACATGGACTACATCTGAATTGGGGCAATGTATTTTAGTAGATACTATATTATATTTTATGATTTAAATTACAGTCAGTGTGTAGGAGTTTGAAATGTAAAACTAACACTGTTTGCAAACATTCCTACAACCCACTGACATGAATGGTTAATATGTACACATAAAATATTAATTGAAATATGTGAGTAATTTTATTCAGTTCATTGAATCACATAGAGGTAGGTACTCATACTTACATGCAAGTTTGATAGAAGCAATTTCACTTCAATGTGCTCAACTAATTTAGATTGGTTTCAATTATCAGCAATCACTTTAATGTGAACTGCTTGCTAGCCAATCACAAGAGGTGGAGAGAGAAAAGAGGGGCATGGTACCAATATCTGTGCAATTAAAGTCTCTACGATTGTGGCACACTGTAGTCGCGTGGCTGGCCAACATTCTTAGCTCAGGTTCACACTCAGATATGTCCAGGACCACCCACGAAATACTAAAACACCAATAACTTACAAATGATTCCTGTCCTGTCGCACTGTTGTCCTCTCCTGTGTAGTACACTGTCCTACGGGTTCCTGCACTGCCCAAGCTCAGTGTGCTATGGGCAAGGCCATGTGAATTGTGTGATTCTAGAACACAGAGAGACACAATATGAGTAAAAATTGCATGAAGTCATAGAGTTCTGTGATCCTTAGAGGCCAGCCCAGAAATGCCTTGTAAGGTACCTCAAACATGTGTTAACAGCATAAGTTATAATTTTCTACATGTACATTCACTATATGAAACATGGTCTCTAAACTATGGAAACAACACAGACTGTGTTTGTTTGTTTGTTTGTGTGTGTGTGTGTGAGAGAGAGAGAGAGAGAAAACAGGATCCTCAAGAAACTGCATAATGAGATTCACATTTTGTACCACTTACCAAATATTATTACAATGATCTAATTAAGGTGGAAGAGATGGGCACAGTATGTAGCACATATGTGAAAGAGGTGAATGCAAAATTTAGTAAGAGAACCCAAAGGAAAGAGACCTCTAGGAAGACTTCAGCCACAGATGAGATCTTAATGAAATAGGATGGGAAAGTGTGGATCTGATTCATCTGGCTAAGGATAGGAGCTGATGGTAGGTTCTCGTGAACACAGCGATGAACCTTCAGATTTCATAAAATGTTGGGAATTTCTTGAGTAGCTGAGCAACTACTAGCTTCTCAAGAAGGAGCCAATTTTATGGAGCGAGTGAGAGGTATTATGCAACTGGAGTATTCATCTGTTTAACCAACCAAACATGTTAACTTCAATGTAACACTTCTGGCTTGTATTCCGGAGACACTCGGTTCAAATCTCGGCTGTCATGCCAACTGTCCTGCCTGACATTTTCCTTAGTTCTTCCAGACAAATGACAGGACAGTGTCTCAAATTAGGCCATGACTGCATCCTTCCACAGTCATTACTGATTACTTGTCCATCATCTGACATTATATAACCTGAATTACTGACAAGTGTCACTGCCTAAACCATAAACAAATACATAAACCTATTCACTGAGGACATCTTTAAGTGGCATTCTTCATGGCCTTGGGACCATATTTATATGCCATAAAAGGTAACGACAGCAGGAAAGGTTGAGTCAGAATTGTGAAGTACCTATTTAGTCTTTCACTGTGCCCATGAGATAGGCTTGTCATTAGCACATAGGAGATTCAAGTGCAAATAAAATACTCGTTCAATCTTCCCTATACCTATGTTTTCAAATTCTGCAAATGCACAATTACAAACATAATCTTAATAAATATATCAAAATAAAACCTCATGTATCTTATACAACAAATCCATAAAAATGGGATAATCAGACTTTCAGAGGAGTAGATAAGGTATGAAGAGGCAAAATGAAAGAATACGCTTGCTCCCAGTTACTAGCAGACAATAAAATGTAACCTGAAGCTCATCTGAAGGTGCTTCTTAACACATTGCGGACCAGTGGTTTAAACATTTAAATCACCCTGGGGACCGGCGTTTTTAAACCTACTACCCTAACTTGTGCACTGTTCACTTTAAAAATTAATATAAAATCTCCTAATTAATTTTATGAACTGAAATTTTTGGAGAACACTTACCAGAGCTCCTAGATGTGCTTGCGCATGTGATATCTCTGGAAACATTCACCTTTGTGAAGAGGGATTACGCAGAAGTTGTACATGTAAGCAGTTCTACTCGTCTTCTTGTGCTCTGCGCACACACGGCACTGCCTAGAAGGGTGTTTCTTCTTGCAATATTCACTCTTCACAATTTTCACGAGAATAAGTTTCTGCATATCACCTGAGAGTCGGCCAGGGGGGTCTACTTGAGGCCTCCGGCAGGTGCGAACAGATGGTCCCAGCTGCACTACGTCTGTGTCTGATGTAGGTACTGCCGCCACCGTGACGTCAGTAGCCCAAGCTTTCGCAAGTTTCAACAGAATGCTTTGTATTTCAAAGTAGAATTTCTGTTCACCTTTTTGAAAACCGTAAATGAATTGAAAATTGCACAGTTTATAAGCCACAGTGCAACTTTCTTCGTCCATTTTACTGTTTTCCTAGGAAGGGAATAATAGGCCAAGAACTGGTCGGCCCTATCAACTCCTTTCATGAACATATTATACTCGGAAATACAAAGAGGCTTCTTTACTTGCCCGTGTCGTCTTTGAACATCGACCATGCTCGAATTGTGAATAGTGGAAACCATATTCACAACGCGAGTATCCCTCCAGGACTGAAGAAGAATGTCCCCCTTCCTCCTGAATGCGGTGTCGCCACGTTTCAGGCGTTTACATTCCTCTTTCAGATCTGGAGGGAGGCCTCTGTTCACCCTAATTGTACCACAAATACGTACTTTCCTTGAAAGTAGGTATTCTGCAGTTGCCACACTGTTGTAATAATTATCTTGATACACGTGATAATTTTGATCGAGATAGGGACCCAAAACAGAAAAAAGAGTTTCTTGCAATTTCTTGCCTTCAGCAGAATACATATCTAAATTTCCTATACAGCCTGAAGTGCTTTCCGTGACAACACGAACAAGTAGGCCATACTTTGTGAGCTTCCCAGGATTATACGTTCGAATACGAAGCCTTCCTCTCCAAGGAATCACAGATTCGTCCAAAGACAGTTGTTGCTCTGGCTTATAAACTGTCTGAAATTTTTCAACCAAAATGTCTAATAAGGGCTGAATTTTGAAAAGCCTGCCCGTTGGTTGTGGTTGCACTTCATTATTGTTGAAATGCAAACACCACCATATCTGTTCAAATCTCTTACGACTCATGAGTTTGCCGAAAATTGCAATTTCTAAAAATGGGTCACTTGACCAATAATCCTTCAAATTTTCTCTCTTTGTAAGCCCCATTAGAATGATTATAGCCAAAAAAATTTTCATTTCTGTTGAAGTGACATCCACCCACTTCAAAACCTTATTGGTTCTGTCGTACGCCTCACGGTGTTGGAGACAGTATCTGTTAGTTTCCTGACACAACAGGTCAAAGAAACTATCTCCAAAAAACAGTGACGCAACTTCAGACACGTCTGTTGGGTCCGATGGCATCTGCTTCACCCCCGGATCACCAGTAAACTTTCCCAAAGTGGGGGTTTTGTCCACTTTATCCCATGTAGCTGTCCCGACACTCGCACTTTCAACGGAGCTCTCACTTTCACTCGACACATTTTGGGCAGCCCTGTGGTCCCCGTCACTGTCACTGTCACTGATAATGGCCTCGCTATCAGGAGACGAAGCAGTTGGCAAATCTGATAGCTCATCGGAGAATATATCTAATATTTCCTGTCCTCCGAGAGATCGCAACTGCTTTTGTCTCTGAGCCATGTTGAACTGGTAGCTGCGTGGTTCATACGTGCAAGCTTGGATTAGAACAAAGCCAATTTTGTTTAGGTTGTGACAGGAAATGACTCTGGTCGAGTTACTAGATAAGGCAGCAATCATTCCCGAGGTCATCTATGCAGTAGTTACGATTCAACGAAGCCACACAGTGATATATAGCGTTTTGCAACATAACGTGACCGTAGAGGGCCATATGGCCCGACCGGTCCGCAACGCTTGGAAACATAGAGGGCCATATGGCCCCTCCGGTCCGCAACACTTGGAAACATAGAGGGCCATATGGCCCCTCCGGTCCGCAATGTGTTAAAACAGATTTGGAAAGTAAATCCAATGCATTCACTAATCCGTAACATTCACTGCACAAACATACAAACCTGGAAGGAAATGACTCTTCAGATCATCTAAGCTAACATCTGATTCATTTCCCCCTTCTCCAGATTCTGACCCATGGGACAAAGTCACCTGGCTTTCAGCATGCCTACTGTCTTCATGCCAAGACCGGCGGTTCTAGACAATCATGAAGCAAACAGTTTTTAGTATATATGTGGTACAAGTTCTTCATAAACCTGCAAGCCTAGGCCTTGTGTATGTAACAACAACAACAGGAACAAAATATTTGTTAATAACGAAGTTGTGATTATAATTTTCTAAGCATAACTGGCAAAAGTAGACATCTCACTGTTACACTTTTACATCATTGGGGAGAAGAAAAAAAATATGGAGCACCTGTCTGCAGTTTATTTTAATTTCACAAAGCTAAGCCATTTGTAAAAGAAAAACATTTGTTGGTCAAAGAAGGCCAAATAAGAGCTTCAGTCTGTCCTCTGTTGATGCCATGATGAAATACTAGTATACTCTCGGTGTTTCAGAAATGTAGCACAGCTGTTGCAGGGAGCAGCTGACCATGTTTCAAAGATGATGTTAGCTGACAGTGGGAGAAACACCGGCATCTACTATAGAGAGATTGAATGGGCGCAAAACCTTTCTTGACATGAGGTCAAGCAGGAAGTCCCAATGCTAAAGCAAAGGGCTTGAGTCTCAGGTGAGCAGTTGTGAGACCACTGTCCTACAAAACTGCAGTGATTTCTTTCAAAAGGTTTCACTGAATGCTCTCATAATTTTGTGTATAAAGGAGAGGAATATATATGAAATATGAAATGACTGTGATTTTATAAAGTGCTGAAGTGTCTTAATTTGAAATTGTATAATTTAATCTCTGTTTTCATCCTCCACTAAGTACTTCAAACATTTTATTAAATTCCACAGATGACAGATGCATGCCTACTCTCCCATGATTAAAACACCTTATTAAATGAGGGAATTCAAAAACAAATTACAAAAGCAAGAGGCTTTCATTTACTTGTATACTTACTCTTGGTACCTTGTTCATGAAGTCTGATCCAGCTTTCCTGACTCTTTTCACAAGTGTAGCACCAAAACTTTTCCTGAATAAACAAAGAAATATTTTGTATGCAATAGCATAGACAGGATTTGGACACTTTAATTACCTGAACATTTCAATTAGCAGGATCAACATTGTGATTCTTATACTGATCATAACATACTTCTAAATTTGGGCTCCTGTTTAATGGTTTTCCTAAGTCCCACTTGACAAATACCAGGAAAGTCTCTCAATTAGACTATGACTGCTTCAGCTCTTTGCCCATTCATCATTCATGAGCCACTGTACCATCTGATGCTGACAGTTGTCTCTTTAACAGGCCGTGGAAGCCCCTACGGGTGTGAGAGCTCAAGCCTCCCACATTTTCTAGATAACTGGCTCTCAGATGGCAGTAAGTTTGTCAGCCTTATGTGTCCATCACCCTCTACCCTCCAGGAATGTTCCTGGTACTCATTTCTGTCAGAAGCTGAGTACAGTTCCGGGTCATATTGTGGCTGGAAGGATTATTTAACTGAAAAATTCAATGACCTCATCAGAAACGAACATGTGACCTTCCAGTATGTAGCATAGTGCCTCAACCAACTACACTACCTTGTGCTCCAGATACTGACTGTGCTGTGGATGTAATGACCTGTGTATTCTTTACCTCTGCACTAGTTGGAAGTGAGTGGTCAGCTTCAGGCCTCAGCCACTTTACCCAAGGGGAAAGACACATTATAAGATAATTTTATAAAATTCTCAGAATATTATAGTGTCACGTGTTGGGTGTATAACGCAACAAATAACTTCACGCTGTATTGAATATAGCAAATTTTATTTCACATTTGCCCTTACAATCACCCAAATTACAATCTGACAACTACTGCCATCGGAAGTATCACAAATACTACACTGCAAATGCCAGAATACAACTGACTGGTTGCTGGCTAACTCGTAACTGCTGCCTTGAGAACTCGTAGGCTTCCTCGGAACTAACTCAGAACTGAGAACTCGGCGATGGCCACATTACAACTAACTCGCAGGCAGCGCAGCTCTCTTATATAGGGGCTGTGTGTGCCTGTTACGTAGCAACGCTGTTACCTCACTCCGTCTTATGTCACCGCGCGTTGCGTGTTACATTACCGTGTGGAGGGGGGGAAGGGAGCGCTGACTCATCCGCCATGTCACTGTGGCCTGAGTTGCCACGTTGCTGCTGGGTAGGGAGGGGTTCTCCGTTGCGCAACATGTCACAATAGTACAAAATTCAAAATTCTGTTAAGTCAATCATGAATCTTTTGAGACCAACAAATGACTAATAAAAAAGGTACTCACTTTTTTGTGGAGCAGCTGTCCAGTTTACGGTAATGTTCCATGATTTTCTCCTCGAGTTTTTCTTTCTGGCGACAGAGATTGTTCAGTCTGTCTCTGATGAAACAAAACCAAACAGCACTGAATGTAAACAACAACCCAATCAAACTATCTCACATAGGCGGACACTCACTTTACATTCAACATTCAAAAGTTTGTGAATTCAACATAAGATATATTTTATCTCTGTCTTTGTGGGTTATGACTGTAATGAGATATTTTCTTCTACACACAGTTTAACTTTACCATACTGGGAATCTACTGGTCTATAGATAACTGCCAGGATTCCAAGAAACTGTCCTGAACCAGTGTCAGTTTTCTATATCTTTGCCATTCCTCTCAAACTGTGATCTTCTGGGTTGTGTTCCTGTGTAGTCTTACAGGTGGATACAGGTGTTCCAGAGGAACATAATGCCTCCCATCTTCAGGGGTGATTCTGAAGAGTGTTCCTCTGAAACATCAGCATCTGTCTGTATGATTACATAGATTCACAGTCCAATGACCACAATCTGAACAATCACCACAGTGAAAACCTTAAACCTATATTTTCTATCCCTTAACTCTGAGAAGTCAAACTCTGTCCATGTAAAGAATACCAGACTGCCACCTTTGTGTGGAGTCCCTATTATAGCATTTTCTGCACCTGCCCCATTTTCCATTATTAACACACTTTGGCTTTCAACATTTTTTCCAAGGCAGTCAATGACTACCTATCCCTATTTTGCATCTTTTGAGAAGTACATAGCTACTGCCTGTCAGCAGATAACATATAAGGTCTAAAAATCTTTTAAATTATATTTTCTTTAACTGAAGGCATTCTGGGTAAAATGACTGGATGAGAGATACTTTAAATTGTAGATCCCCTTTACCAGCCATCTCTTGTCATTTAGTAGATATGCAGAATTCTACCCCAAAGTAGATTCCTTCATCCTTGCAGGTGGGCACGGGTCAGGATTGTTCAAAGACCATGAATGGAGAACTCTACTATGGTCACAAACAGCGAGTACTTACGTGAACATCTTCTCCTCCGTGTGATAATGCTCCTTATCTTCCAGAGAGTGTGTAAGCAGCTCATGGTATTGACTCAACAGCAGCGATACATGATCCATTAGAGAGCGACGGTCATCTTCTAGTCCTGTGTTCATCTGCAGTAACATCTACAGAAAAGAAATGATCAGAATTTCCTTCCAATTCTTCATGTTTATGTAATTCTCCAATCAGCACATTTACCATGATGGATCACTGTGATGACAGTCAGCAACAGTGGCATAACTGGCTACTGGAATTTCCGTTAGAGGCTGAATCGATCCCAGGGCCATAGTGCGGCCGGAAGGATTAGGTAAACTGAAAAAAAAATCCACCTCATCGGGACAGGATCCCGCAACCTTCTGGCTTGTAGCACAGTGCCTCAACCATGTTACTGCGTGCCGTCTTGCAGTAAGGTATAAAAGGTAAAGCTATCCCTGTAACAGGCCATGAAGGCCCTCAGGAATGTGAGACGTCGAGGCTCACACATTTTTTCTGAACAATCGGCTCATAGATGGCAGTAAAGTTGTCAGTCATATGTACCAGCCACCTTTTATCCACCAAGAAGACTCCTGGTACTCATTTCTGTTAGTAGCTGAGTGAACCCCAGGGCCATAGTGCAGCTACAAGGAGTAGGAAATTTGAAAAAATATCCACCTCATCGGGACTTGAACCCACAACCTTCCAGCTTGTAGAATAGTGCCTCAACCAACTATGCTATCATGTGACCCAGACTGGCTTGGAGTACTTTCAATAAAACCACAAGTATTTATTACTGTATCATCTCCAATTTTTATTCTCTCTTCTGGTATTTCCTTTCATATTTATTACAAATCTTATTTAAATATTGATTAACACATTCTTTTTGCCTGGATAATCTGGTTATCCTTGAATCTTACAGTCTGAAATAGCAAGCTTTTACTCTAAGTACTATTCTGACAATAGACTAGATTAACTGAACTATAATAATCTTCATTCTGAAACTACTACGTTCTACAGCGGTTTACCGCAATGATCTTATTTAGAACAGGAGCTGTAAAGACACTGTCTGGCCTACCTCACATCTGTTGTTCAGCTTAGACACTTCAACTTCTAGGAGAGTGTTATGGTCATTGGATTTGGCCAATTCACCCTGCACCTCAGTCTGCCGCAGCTTCAAGCTGCCATTCTCACTGCGAAGAGACCGATACTCTTCCTGCAAGCTACGGTACTCTTGCTTCAACTTCTCGCTTGCGGTGAACAGGTTACGAAAATCATCCTGAGGAAGAATCGGCACCATAGGAAATGATATAATGTGTATGAACTTTGTAAAAATACAGACTCCCTCTCCCTCTCCACTCTTTTGTCCACAGACAATGGAGGCAGTACATTCCTCCAGAACATCAGTAAACATCTGTCAGAGTGCACAGCGTCACATGCCAGCACACAGTAATCTTCTGAGACACTTTGAAATGTAATTAGAAGAAATAGATGCGAAATATTGATAAAATGTTCCTCCTTCCCCCAATATACAAAAAGGAAAACATGACAACAAAGATTCGATCTTGAAACATCTGAATACAAGACTATTGCTCTGTTACTGAGCATCCCTACTCAATACTTTGAACTGTTGATGTTAACAGCATTCACAGGCTTATCTTGTATAGAACAGTTTGATACTTTTCATAGTATGGTATTGAATTTCATGGTTCTCTTTGTTACAAAGAGGTTCTTGTTAATATTGGTTCATGAGTTATATGTTCATTGTCTATTCATAGACATTCTATTCATATTTTTTGTTTCATTGTTTACATTCCCTACAGTATGGACAATACTTTGTGAGATGAGGCACTGACTAATATTATAATTTACTTTACTACATCTACATTATGAGACTCATACACAATTTTACATACGCATAAGTATGAATATTCCAACTTGTCTGTGGGAACGAAACAAAAAACAAATCACAAACAAATGACTGACACGTTGATGTAAAAACACCAAAAGAATTTTATTCTTATTTTATATCATACTTCTGTTTTATATAACTTGATTTATTGTATTTTTACATCAAGGGGTTTTTGTATACATTTTAATAATATTTATCCAATTTTGTTGGTGCTGTGGTTCAGTGGTGTGTGTGTATATATGTGTTAATCATGTATTTGCCTGATGATGGCTATCAATAGCCGAAATCTGTAGCAGGGCCGAAAACGGTCTGATCTTGATATTAGTTGTGTTGTGACGGATATAATAAAGAGGTTAAATACCAATTACATACAATACTGGTATTAAAAAAATATATACAATTGACACAAACAGAACAGAAGTCATGCAGTAGTCTGTGACGTCACACAACCATCCGATCAACTTATATTGTCCTGCAAAAGAACAACCAGGGAAACGAAAAAGTTGTCACTTTCGTTTATGATGGTACATGGACCAAACTCCAGTCCAGTCCCATAAACAGACAGGCAAAGTGTCATTTGTACAACATACTTTTAGACTGGAATGTTCTGCTCTCAAATTCCCAAGGGACCGAGATTCTGCCTTCAGTTTTTCTTTTTCTTGTTCCAGCAAATTTTGGGATGCCTCCTGCCGGGCGCACAGCTCTTTCAGTGCCCTCAATTCATTGCGGAGGTCTCGCTGAGTTGTCTTAAGTCCTTCCTTTTCTCTCAACTGGTTCTCATACTCTGTAGTCAACTGTTCATGTAGAGACTGCAGCGTCACTTGGTCAAGAAGCAGCTGCTGGTGTGCACACTGCTGCAAGCTGCGCTCCTTCACAAGCTGTACAAGATTAATCATCACGAGTATAAAACCAATTCCAATTGTTCCCTAAAACAATTAAACCTCCACTTAAGGTTTCCTTTTCAACCAGTGCATTTGAACACTATCTACCTAACACCACAGAGACAAGTCCTCCTTGATAATCTTCCAGTCACTCAGCTTCTCAAGAATTTTCCAATATTTTATGGAACCTCAAGGTTCATTACCATGATCACATGAGCCCTCCACTGATCCTTATCTTCAGCCAGATCAATCCAATCTAAAACACCCCAGCCTACTTCTCTAAGATTCATTTTAATATTGTGAAGAAATGGAGGAACACTTAAGATTATTGACTTAGGATCGTTAAAACTGACCATTAAATGAAGGAAAACCTTAAGTCCAGGAACATTAAGTGGGGATCCACTGTATAACAACTTCTCCTACAAAAAACTAAGATGCTAAAAGATACTGGAAAATTATGTGAACTGTATTCAAAGACAACATTTACAAAAGTTATTCCTGTGGAATGAAATGAGAATATTTTGTAGAAGTCATATACATTATAAAAATCTCTACCTCATCTTTCTCAGCAACCAGCTGGGAATTGGCAAGCTGTAGCGCTGTATGTTGAGTTGAAAGGGATGACACTTGTGACTGTAATGTTGCTACAGTGACCTGCAACTTTGCATTGTCAGAATGAAAGCTATCAGCTGAGCTCTGCAATACAGCCAATTCCTGATGCAACTCTTCACACTGACGACTCAAAGACTCATTATCAGATCTGAGAGATTGAACATCAGGACTAGGTTCCTTGTTCTTGTTCTGTTCCTCAGCAGAAGCCTGCTGTGTTAACTTGCACTGTCTACAGAGCTCTGTACCCTCTTCTTTAGCAAGCAACTCTCTTACAGCCCGTACGACCTCTGGGCTTGACACTATCCTGAAATCAGATTAATTGAATCACATATTAACCTTTAATTTCCAGAAGAAATAACTTAGGAAGAAAAATACAAGGAATTACTATTGTGGCATATTTGCTGAAGGCAAGAACTGTGAAGCCAGTAGACAGCTATTGTTAGGGAGCAGCTCTGCAAACATGCCCATTACTAGGCAACAGATTCGTAACACACAAGAATGGAGCCACTGTGAAGTGATGTTCTCCACACAGTCTGTGTGAGAGTTGCGTGATGCAACAATAGAAGAACTATCGTGAGAGGTGTTTTCTGTGTGGTCCGTGCTGAAGTGTTATAAGCAGAACATATAAAGAGTTTAGTGAGTTGTGAGATAGTCACCAGCCAGTAAGGATGTGAATACAGAAGCTCAGGAAGCTATGGCATTGGAAGCTGTTACCAGGTGATAACCAGTGAAGATACAGCAGACTGAGAAGACTTTGTATGTGCTGTAGTGAATTGCATAGTGTGTGAATTAGCAATAGCACTAGTTACATGTAGTTACAAGTTGTGTGTATATGTGTGCAATAAATCAAATTACCAATTCAGACCCAGTCTACAGTCAGTCTATCACATGACACTATCATGACAGAAGTGAATGTGCTTTTACAAGACAAATTTCCTAGTAATCTGCATACCACTGTTTGTAGCTTCAGCTTGTAGCAGTGCTGTGAGTTCACTCATTCTTGCCATATGAATTCCAAAATAAAAACACATAACTTAAGAAACGAGGCTAACTTACCACAGCTAGAGGTTCACACTGGTCTTCATCTCAGTTAAAGAATTTTAAGATAACAGACAAGAAATTACAGATGTGAGTGAAGTATCTCACATTCAGATCTCACTGATGTCTTGGAGGGCCCTCAGATGTGTAACTATTTTTCCTTTCCAATTTATCTAATTCAAATAGACTTTAGAAGCACTTCAAATAATATGCTTGTTAAGATTAATAGCAACAGAAAGAAAAGAATGCAAATGTGGATTCAAATCACATACAGACACTCTATCACAATACTTGCATGTTGCTTCATCACACACACTAACAAGATTATGAGTGTAAAGTTCATAATACCTTTTGGTAGTCTCTGTGATGTGCATGGTAGGTAAAGCAAAGAGAAGAGTAACAGATTCTAACAGTTTAATTAAGTTTCTCTTAATAGATAAGGAATAACAATGTGATTTGATACGCATACAGTATTCACTGTAGATTTAAATGTTACATCATATGAATGGTAATACGACAATGGAAGTGAAAATAAATAAAGATCACTGAAGTAAAGGAGTTCAATCCACCTCAGAGAGATATCCTATACAGTCAACTCTCGATTATCCAGGATAATGGTGGGGATGGAAATCACGATTAATCGAAAACCCGGTTAAGACAAATTTTATTAAAAGTAGTACTGTAATACTGTACCTTCATAATACTATAGGCCTACCTGTATTTAAATTTATTCAACCTCATTTTTATGTCATCTCATGGCCTATTTAATACTTTTTTTACATTATGCTGAAGTATGAATTAGTTATTTCAATCACAGTCTTCAACAACATCCAACACTTTTTACGAATATTCACACTTAACACTTAAAAAAATTTAATATTTTCGTTTACTTTTTCGTGGCATTTTCCTTTTTCTGTTGAATACTTAACACAACACGCTTCCTTTTACACCCCGACATTTTGCTAATGCACTTGAAGATCGATACAAAGAGACTAACTGGGGTGATGTATCTGTCCTTGAAACTTTTCACAAATCCTTGCATTCTTTCACCCCTACCCTAGAACATTGTGTTAGCATAACGGGACAAAAGAATGCAGAGCTTGGTTCACACTAGTGCGAAAATCGTGTTACAACTCACCATGTGAAACAAAAGTGAATGAATATTAAACAACATATAAGCCTCAAAAAAGCCTCAGTAGCCCCGGTTAAGCCGCAAACCTGTTAATCCGCCCCCGGATAATCGAGAGTTGACTGTACAAGATTTATCTGAGGAAAATCTGACATGACAGTAAAAATCAGTTACAATTCAAACAAGGCTTCCTCTGAATTCAAGACAGCATTATAAACCAGCTAATTACACCTGTTCAGGCTATGTGATACAATACCGACAATGAAATCCTTCTCCATTCAAGAATGACACATGGCTCAAATAACCATGTAACATACTTCTCTAAGGCAACATCTGGGTCCATCAACTGATCAAGGCTGAGCCCCATCTTTTCCAAATTGCTTCTCAGCTGCTGGGTGTTGAGCTTCTGGGTAACCAAATCACTCTGGAGTGTAGCCAGCGTCTCTCTATCCACAGCTGCACGACTTGCCAATTCTTGACTCTCTCGTTCCACCTCATGAAGCCTAATTGCAATGCACAAGGAATCATAATACTAGAGTGCAATGAAAGATAACATTTTCTTATTCCTTGATCACATTCACATATCATTACAGATGACAAGGCATGCTTTCAATGGTAAAATTCTGGTAAAGTGGTTTCACACAGCTGGTTAGCTCAGGTCCCATCCCTGGTAACTGTTCTCTTCATCATCATATATCATGAGCCAGGACAGCTCAGTCACTACAATGACAAGCTATGGGCTGTGGATGGCTGTGGTTTGGCCTAGCAATTGCAGAAGATTTTTCTCTATTCCACAGCATCCACACAGGCTCTGGGGCCCACCAAGCCTCCCCCCCAGTGGGTACTAGAGGCGCTTTCCCCGGGGGTAATTAAACTGAACATTCACCTCCATCTAGTGCTGAGGTCAAGAATGATGGAGCTATACCTCTACTCCCTCATACGTATTCATGGTGTGGTACTTCATTAATCAAGCACAAGAAAAACTTTACCTATACCATCATATCCAGCTGGCTGAAACCCAACATTTCTATTTGAGTGGCACACATGGAAAGATTGCCTCTGGGATAAGGGTACTTGCATTATGAAATTACTTCAATCTAGTGCCAGTATTTGAACAAATATGGATATTCCCTCCATGTTCACTAGATGGTGGATGTGACACACATACAAGGAAAGTGTCTTAGGCACCTCCCTTGTCGGTGTCTGTGTGGGATATAATGGAAAAAAGAAAAAATCCATGTACCCCTAAATGTGTATTGATTTAGACTGTCTACAGTCAAACTGCTACATTATTTACAGAGTGACAGAACATTAAAAAGCAATAAAAATGATAGCTGTATAGGGGTCTAGCTAAGGAATGGACATTAACGTTCTGGTGTGTTGCTAGCTTTTTCCGCTATGTACCTCGGAGGTAAGAGAGCCAGGATAGCACAGTCAGAATCATGACTGGCTATGGGCTGGATGACCAAGGGGTTTGAGTTCGAGTCCCTGTGGGGGAAAGAATTTTCATTTCTCCATGTTGTCCAGACCGGCTCCGAGGCCCACCCAGCCTCCTATCCAATGGGTATTGGGCATTCTTTTCCTAGAGGTAAAGTGGTCAGGGTGTGAAGTTGACCACTTACCTCCAACTAGTGCTGAGGCCAAGAAAACGTGGGTCTATACATCCACTCTGCCATACGCCCTCACGGTGTAGTGCTTCATTAGTTCAGCACAGGGAAAACTTTACCTCTACCTCAGAGGTAAACAACCATAACTCATAATCAGGTATGTTTACAGTACTTCAAATGATAATTCAGACAAAGCTTTGAATCCTCCACAGCTGGGTGCATTAACAAAAGTAATTGAATTATACATGGGTTGGAACTTTAATAGTGGCAACACTGCTGTAGAGACACCATGCAATGGAACCAAATAATGTCGCTTACACCACACGTTAGTTACATACCTACCTTACCTCAGAACAAATGGACTCTCCCTTCCCACATGACGCGCATGCGCAGTGATGAGAAGAACAGAGCCTCGTGTTAGCTGGCGGTAGTGTTGTCACAATGTTTTCGAAACAGGAACAACGGAGTTGGATAAAGATTAAATGTGCCAGGGGCCGTACAGCAAGACAGTGTCATCAAGGTCTTCAAGAGGCTTGCGGGGAATTTGCATTGCCTTACAGAACAGTGGAAAGGTGGGTAAAAGCCTTCAACGAGGGACACCAAAATGTGGCAGACATGCGTCGGGCAGGTCGTCCTAGTGTCAGTGAAGAAGTGTATGCTCTTTCTGCGTTATGCCATACGATTCGTGAGCTGGCCCGAGAGACAGGATTAGCGCATACGACTGTGCTTCACATTCTGAAGGAACGCCTGGGCATGAGAAAAATTGCATCACGATGGGTTCCGCATGATTTGATGGAAATGCAGAAATGGCTACGATACGACGCTGCTCATAACCACTTGGAGCGCTATGAGTGCGAAGGAGAGGCTTTCGTACGCCGTATCATTTACGCTGGATGAGACATGGGCCAAATCGTATGAGTACGAGTCACAAATAAAACGCCAATCTAACGAATGGCGTCATTAGGGGTCACCACGAAAATCAAAAGTTCGTCAGAACCCGAGCAGTGTCAAAGTTATGGCGATTCTCGTGTACGGCTGTGATGGTGTTATCCTAATGCATACCGTTCCCCGACAGCAGACCGTCAGTGCGCAGTATTACTGTTCATTTTTGGAACACAACCTGCGACCAGCTTTGAGAAAGAAGCGGAGACACTTCCTGCAGAACCCACCCATCATTTTGCAGGACAATGCTTGGCCGCATGCAGCGCAAGCTGTCGCTGATTTGTTCGATCGATGGGGCTGGGAAGTGCTGTACCATCCACCATACTCCCCGGACTTAAGCCCTTGTGACTTCAACTTGATTCCTAAGATGAAGGAACCACTTCGTGGCATTCGCTTCAGAACTGTTCCAGAGATTCTTCAGGCAGTAGACCGTTCCATTCGAACTATCAACACAACAGGCACTGCTAAAGGTATCCTACGACTTCCACATCACTGGCAATGGGTTGTACACAATGCTGGTGACTACACTGAAGGATAGTAAAACTTCGAAACATGCATCTATTTTGTATCAGTTGTAAATAAACAGTTGCCACTATTGAAGTTCCAACCCTTGTACAAGTGAACACATCCAATTCTATGGATCTTACTATAAACATGAGAGAAAAGGGTCCCAATTTGAGTTACAACTGTTTCATTCCAGGATGCATGACTTATTATGTTCATGTTCATGGAACTTATTAACGGATTCTGGTACCTCATAGAAAATTAACTGCAAACAAATACTTGTAATTGCAACATTCCAGTGTAATATCTAAAATTATGAGCCGCGTTTCGCTCTGCTACCACTTGTGCCATCTGTCCGCTCTGGGACTATATGTACCACTTGTACCGTCTCTCTCTGGCACCTTTCGGCTCCGTCTACCTTTCCTCAATCGGAGGGGGAAACGTTGCTCCGTCATACGGCTCTCGTGCTGTGCTCGCACGCTCCCTAAGTTAGAGTAAGGGATCCAAGCTAGCAGCGAAGTAAATGTAGTTACAAATGATGGCAATCAATATATTAACAAATAACAGAATTTAATATACACAACAGAAATTAAACAGAACAACTGAACTAACTGCACATTTACATGCTCGCACACAGCGGCATCTAACTCGGGCAGAATGGCCCATATTACTGGCGCAACAATTTGCCTTGGTTGCTTGAAAACATAACTACTACATTATAGCCGGGCCACAGGCTGAGTCTAAACTAAATACACAATATAAATTATAAAAACAGATTTAACCAAACTGGTACGAGTCGCCGCCGTCCTACAAACCCAACGACGGGCGACCGCGGGCGATCTCGTCGGCCGCGAACCAGCCCAGTACTTGCCGAAACCAAATTTGGACTCCCAGCCGAACAGGAATTTGACAGTCGCTCCGGCTGGCTCGGCGCCGCGAGCAAGGCCCTATGGATCCATAACCAGAACTGAACTCCGAACTCGAATTAACTTCCAAGCAAGGCTCCCAGGGGTAGAAAGGAGGGGAGAGGGCAATACCACGTGACCCAGTCCCGCATGGGGATGGGGTGGGGGATAAGTTTAAGAACCTCGATCAAGGGGCTGGAAGCCCATGACGTCATACCGGAGCCACTGCATGGCTCAATTATGTGCATGCCTTGTGATCTGTGCTGTTGCCTCATCCAGTTCCTTGGACAGTCTACTTCTCTCCTTCTCCTTGGAAGCAGTGTTGCTTGCACACTGATCAAGAGCCACATCTTTAGCCTGCAAAAAGCAACATATGAGGGCGATTCCAATTAAAACCTTACAAGTGCATGAAAAGTATTGTGAACCTATTGTGTGCAGCTGCAGGCATAGCAAGTCATCAGCATGGGTTAAAAGCATGTAATGTGTATAGTGTGTCTGTATGAGGTTAGAAGTGTTTACAGCAGCTACAATTTGGACTGCTGTCTTCTGGAATATGAAACTGTAATTTCAAAGTAACATGTTCTTTACATCTTCAGGGTAGTCTGAAGATGCAGGGAGCATCTCCCTCCAAAACTTTTGTCAACACACTGTCAGTTCAGAACTGTGATCTAAACATATTTCCATACAGAGTGATTTAGAATACATGACTGACATGCAGAAATGCATACTGATATTTGAAAATGAACTGATCCAAAAACTGCTGCCACAGAATTGTCAGGTAAGATGATTCAGCCAATGTGACATGCAGTTCAGTTCGGTCATCTACAGCAGTGCGCTACAAAGTATTTATCCTTATTATAATCCTTTCATATAGAGTTTGTTGTTTAAATTGTTTTTATTTGATAGATTAAGTCAGTAAGACTCAACTTACTTCATTCCTTTACAGAATTTATCACAATTTGACACTTGTAAACTCATTCCATCATTATAAGATCTCTGAAATGTATTTACTCTTACCTCGAGAGATTCTCGTAATTTAGCCAGCTCTCTCTGTAGACTCTGAATATCCTTTTCCAGGCTTTCCATTTTTGCCTGGCTTGTACTGCACTGAGTTCGGAGCTCAGGAACATGCTGAGCTTCTGATTTCCAAGTCTCTGCCTGCTGATTGGCTATCTCATTTATCCTCTCCAACTCATCTGCATGACGCTGGACACTTTCTATGAGGCACTGCAATCTTTGTTTTTCCTTTGTCACATTCTCAACAAGTTTCTCAAGCTCTTCTATCTGAGCCTTGTCAGCCTTTTTCAAAACATTGTAAACAAATCAAATTGGTACACTGATTTGACTTCAGTTCAAAACACATGAAATATTACAAAGACCAACGGTTAGAGCAACAATTACAAAACTGTTGCTGTTGTACATGAGTCATTTAATGATCTCAAATTAAGTACAGAAATTATTTAGCATCAACTCCAATGGGAGACAATCACATTGACCCAGTGTTTTAGGACTTTAGGATCCTTTGTGTTAACTTATACATCATATTGTGAGATCAAAACACAAATATGATTTTCCTTACCTGCAATTCCTGATGTTGTTTGTCAGAATTTAATCTTAAAACTTCTATAGAGTCTTGAAGCTTTCTGTTCTCTGTTAAGGCATCTTTAAACAACTGTTCCAATTCATTATTTTGTTGAGTTAACCTCTGACAATTTTCTTGCAACTGATCAACCTGAAATGGTATTGAAATATTCTGAGTAACAGAAATTACAAACTTAGTATTCTACTGCCATTTTACTCCAGTGATATGTAAACTTACAATCAAGTACTTTCTGGTTTATTATTTTAATGTCAAAACTTCTCTGACTAACCCTAGAAATAATTTAACAGGATTACTACACTGCAATGGTTTTAAGTTGCAGGATGGCTAGTCCACAGTGGACTTCATAAATTACAGGGATCACAGCAAAATAAAAATGAAATATCATAAAATATACACAAATTCTGTGGATACAATCCAAGCTGTGAAATCAATTCAGACAGAGTATCAGCATTTGACTAGTTTTCAGCTGTAACTCTAACAGATCAAAGGGTTTGGAGAATCAGAACCAACCAAGAACTGAGGGACTTACATAAGACCTCCTGATCTAACTGTAGATGTTAAAAAGAGAAGGTTTGAGTGGTTAGGGAACTGATCAGAAGGGATCACACAAGGGTGAACATGATAATTTTTTACAGTAATCCAGAAGGTAGTACAAATGTGAGATGACCCAGATCAAGATGGGTGGAAGATGCAGAGAACAGTTCATCACAGCTGATAGTGAAGAGATGGAGGCAAAAGAAAAACAACAGAGAGGAGAGGATATAAAGGTTCTTGGAGAACCACAGAGCCAAGGAGTAAGTAAGACTGTATTTCTGGGCTGTCTAGGCATAGAATTTGATGTGGTGAACAATGGAAATGAACCTTTAATGTCTCCTTAAATTGTACTATGTGTAATAAATTATTAATTTTATAAAACATCATACACCATATATGGAGAATCAAACGATATTTAAATAGTGAAAATAATCCTGTTCACACTTCAATGTACACATTTTACATAAATTAAATGAAACTTAATTAATTTACAAGTGACTCCATGGAGCAGGCTCATTCTTCAGAAGCTGACAGTCATTCATCTGGTCAGGATATTCCCTGCCTATTATCAAACATGAAGATTCATTATGGTGAGCCAGTTGAATCTGCTTCACAACTTCATACCCTATTTACCTAACATCCAGCTTATTATTATTCTCCCATTTGTTCCTAGGTCTCTCAAGTGAGCTATTCTTTATGAGACTGCAGTTATCCTATTTCTTTCCCTCCCTTAGAAACAAATATTCTCCCCAGTACCATGTTCTCAATTAACCTCAGGCTATGTTCTTCCTTTAAGGTGAGGGCCTTAATTTCATACCAATGTAAAACAACTTTGGAGACCCTTCATCCATTTAGCTATGCATGGACCATCATTTTATAATAAATACTTATCAAAATATAAGTAATTGTGAAAATGAAGTCTAAGTTCAATACATTAATATTACATTTAGTAACAATGCATTTGCATACTAAACAGTGTGACAAGCACACAATCTACAAGCTATATTTTACCTTTAGAGATAGTTTCTTCCTGTCCTTTTCAAGCTCAAGGATTTTGTTGCTGCTCTCATGAAATGACGATTCCTTAAGGCTGTCAATTGTTGATAGGAGCCGACGATTCTCGAGTTCCAATTTGAGAGCACGAGCCTGTGCATTGCTACTTAACTGCTCTGATAAACTATTATCTCCAGACCCTTAAGACAAAGGAACCCAGTATTGCATGACTGTATCAGTTACTGTAGACAAGTAACTAAGAGTTTTACCTCATTATGAGAAGCTGCATTTGAAATTATGGATGAAATTATTTAGGTCATGTGTGGAAAATCCCCAGAAGCCTACTTCAGGAAGAATCTAATTTTGGTTCCTGCAATGTCGATTGCATATCACAGAATTTAAAATAATAAAAAAGTTTTCTGAAGGACTGTGAAAAATTTGGTTTTTACTAGGTGTAGAAGATGTTAAGGTAAAATACTATAAATAATTCACTTTTGTTTAAGCATGTATTTTTGCTGGGTTTACACCAAAATAGAGCATACAGTCAAACTCCTATTTAAGGTTTCTTTGGGGAATAGTGTATTTGCACTTTAAACTGAGTAAAATCTTAAAACAGACAAAATTTAATGGTGAGATTATTAATTTGGGACCATTTAAACTGAATGTTAAATGAGAGAAAATGCTGAACCATGCAACATTAAATTAGAGTTCCACTGTATTTTAATATGTGGCATATTGCTTTAAATTAAACACAGTGTTGCAATTCCAGTGTTTGAAATTAAAATTACATTATTTGTCTAATCTAAGCTCTACATGTAATGTGCAGTCAGTATGAAGCTGATATTGTCTGGTTGCCATTTAAGTAGTCCAGGCTAATATCCCCAACCTTTATACATTCTAAAGACCAGTGGTTACTATGTGTACCACCTGCTTCGACACTTAAATAACTTCGTAATGAGGATGCCATGTTTTATTTTGAAACAGAAACTGAACTTTAAACGTTATTTAGATGAATTTAAGGCTTCAAAGAGTTCAGATTCAGGCAGAAGCCATAAATTTACCATCAGGACAAGAAAAAATGTGTCTGCAGTATAAAGGTAAGAGTATAAAAATATTATGCTGGCTTCTCAAATGTTCTTGAATATCATCCATCCCCAATATATGCATTTTTAATATGATGTTCTTTTTTGCCATATGTTTTAGACACCAATGCTATTACAGATCTATGTAAACCAATACTACAAAATTTATGACCCACCATATATTTTCAACACTCCGAAAACTTCTTGTAGTACCTTTGAGATCATACTAAGAAATATCCATTGTATATCAATTCAAATATAAAATTACATGTGTATAAAAGTGTAAAGTAAAAAGTAAAGCTATCCCTGTAACAGGCTGTGAAGGCCCATAGGGTTATGAGATGTTGAGGGTCCCACATTATCTAGACAATTGGCTCAAAGATGGCAGTAAGGTTGTCAGCCTTACGCGCCAGCCGCGCTTTACTCCCCAGGAAAATTATTTAATTAATTCCTGGTACTCATTTATATTAGAGGTTGAGTCAACCCCAGGGCCATAGTGCAGCTGCAAGAATTAGGTCAACTGAAAAAATCCAATGACCTCATCAGGACTTGAACCTGCGACCTTCCGGCTTGTAGCATAGTGCCTGAACCAACTACACTACCGCGTGCCAGTGTATAAAGTGTGGGCAAACTATTTTAATAAATGTTTCTTACAAACCTCCATCAAAATCATCCGTGTTGTCACTTTCAATATCAAGAGTAGAGTTTTCATTAAGAGCAGACTTAGTCAGCAATTGAAGCTGAGCATTTTCTTCAAAGAGCTCCTGTAACTTCTCTTGGTTGGCTTCCCTTTCCAGTGTGAAGTCATTAAGCTGCTGCTTGTACTTGATGATCTCACTCTCCAGTTCCAGCACATGTTCCCCACGTTTCCGGGCTCTCTGCAGTTGTTCTTCTAACATTTCTCTTGTTTCAAGCAGAACCCTGCATCACAACATCTAAGAGAGTTACAACAGTTCACAATGCTTGATTTGCAACTCTGAAAACAAATGAGTAATACATTGCTGGTCAGCTAACAATACCAGGATACAAACTACATGCCAAAACAACCAAGCACTCTTCATCATATTATAGATGAAGAGCTCATTAACACAGAAGAGGATATAATATTATGGAGTAAGATATTACGAATTACTGGGTTTTCAGACTTTGTCCATCATCCGATATTCTAGAAGCTAGGAAACATAATGTTTCGGAAACAGATCCGGTTTCTGAAACATTTTTCTAGCTTCTAGAATACCAGATGATGGACAAAGTCCAAAAACCCAGTAAATCTGAGTATTATACACAAGAATCTACAAGATATTATGAACAAACAACCAAAAGAGAATGCAATTATATGCACCACCTGCTTTAACATTAAAAATCTCTGCACAATGCATTTATGTGTATTGTATAGTTCTTAAAATATACAGAATTCTTTTTCGTTGAAAAGCAGCAACCAGCTGGTCTTTAAAATTATATTTTCTTTGAAATAGGAAATGAATTCTTAAATGCTATTCAGTAGAAATAAATGATCTTACAGATAATATCCACCAAATTAACAAATGTCTTGGAGCAATGTTATTTGATCTAACAAGATATATATTTCACAAATGTAAACTTCTTTCACATAACATGTTTTGTATGTATATAATATATATAGCAAAGTGATGAAATAGCCTTGAAAACAAAACGGGAAGAAAAGATAAATGATGAAAATGACACAAAGTTCTGGGAAGAACGAATCACCTAATTTCCATTCACTACAGAGTATTTGATACAACAAGAAAACACTGCAACCGATAGTTCTTCTACTGCTACATGTACATTTGTTGCTGCGGTAGTGTGTTTACTGGGCTGCTGCCTAGAAATGTTAGAGGGGAACAGACAGCAGAGTGAACTCATAAGCCTCATTTCATTTTTTCAAAACAAAGAATGTACGAAGCATAAAGGGTTATTCACTGATCTACATTTAGGAACATTTACAGGATTAAGAGACACATAAAGCAAGAAGTAATGAAGAGCAAACAACTAACCTGTTAAAGAAAGCAGTCTTTTGGGATTTGGCACCGTGTATATGTGGTGTTAACCTACGTTTCGGAGGAATGTATCGCCTCCATCTTCAGGGTAGAAGGAAAAATATAAGAAATCCACAAGTGAAGAGACCATGAGAACCGGTAAAAGCAAACTGGTCTGCCAAATCCCAGAAGACTGCTTTCTTCATGGTCACTGCTGTGAAAGCCTCAAATCTTACAACTAACCTGTTGTCCTCTCTTAGCTCCTCAACACGTGTCTTGTAGAATTCAATGTCACTCAGTTTTTCACGGTATCGTTGCACTTCCAATTCCAGCTTCTCCACGCGTTCCGCCCTCTCACGTACAGCATCAAGCTCATCCCGGTATGCTTTAGCAGCTCTAGCATCCTGCATCAGCTCTTGAACCTAGGAACATACACAGACATAACTTTGGTTTCAAAATTATCTTTGCTTTAATATAAAAAGACGGATATAAGAAGACGGATAAAATAAATCATGGATAAAAAGTACCACATACAGTGAAACACCAGTTCGGTGTTCAGTGATTTTTTCTGGTCCCAGCCAAGTCCTAATACAAGCAATGTATTATTGCTCCATATGTAGTGAATTTCGATTTTTTAAATATCCTGTATTTCGTGTAGGAAATTTCCAATGTTTATACCTTGCTTTAGTGCAACTGTGGTCAAAATAACAACTGAAATTCAAGTTCTCTATATGTTCGAAACTGTTGCAGAATAATTTAATATAACTGACTATATACGTAACTATCCATTTATTAGTATATATTAACATTTGCTTTAAGAGCTTGTATACAGAAATTATTTTATCATAATTATATACAGTAAGTCTTATAAGAAGATGAACAGTTTCTTGATGTAATTTAGTGTGAGAACAGACTCCATTAAATACAGATTTCTCTATAAGATCAATGATAATAAGATTACCTCTTGCCGTAGTTTAGTTATTAGTATCTTGTTATGTTCCAGATCTTCTTTGCACTCAACTAGTGCTTCTGATTTTTCCTCACTAGATAAACATAAAAAAAATGTTTCAGCAACATCTTGCGACACTGACTAGGACTACAGTGTTCCCATAAGTCTGAAATTATAGGGAATATCATTCATTCTGCAGATGTATTAAATGATGTACTCAGTGTACCCACCATTCATGATACATAACTCCAACCAGAACTACAACACTGTGAACGATACTGGGTTGGATCTTACAACATGCCATGATTTTACTCCACTGGAGGTGCACAGCAAAAAGTAAAAACTAAAGCTATCCCTGTACAGGCCGTGAACGCCCATAGGGTTGTGAGATGTTGAGGGTCCCACATTATCTAGACAATCAGCTCAAAGATGGCGGTAAGGTTGTCAGTCTTACGCGCCGGCTGCACTCTACTCCCCAGGAAAATTATTTAATTAATTCCTGGTACTCATTTCTGTTAGAGGCTGAGTTGACCCCAGGGCCATAGTGTGGCTAGAAGGATAGGTCAATTGAAAATATCCAATGACCTCATCATGACTTGAACCCACGACCTTCCAGCTTGTAGCATAGTGCCTCAACCAACTACACTACCGCATGCCCCCATGAGGTGCACAGTATCACTAATTTCTTCACCACGCATAACCACCTTGAGATGGCCCAGAGGAAATTAGTATTAAGATGGGTCAGGTTTGAGGACCAAGCTTGCTATTCTAAATCCATACGATGTGCAATCCAGTATCCTGGGAGTTCAACATTCAGCTGATGCCTCATTTCCAAGTTGTAATCCATGGGAAGATCTTTTTCAGAATAAGCAAGCTAGAAAATTGCTTCCTCCATAAACGGTAAGAGTCATTCCCTGTGACTGTGTCATTAACAAAGAAGAGACCTATGATTCCAGACATATGGGACACTGTGAAATCCTGTATATTATCAGTTGATAATACTAAACAATACACCATGCCTGATCATATAGGGGGCATGGTAAAATGAGGTTGTGGCAATCTTTAATGTCATAATATTCATACAGAATTTAATGAATATCATTCAAGTGGTTCAAAAGTTTAAAGGGGACATATATACAGACAGCACGATGATTTCATAAGCCTCCTTCTTTATTCCTTAAGAAAGGAAAGTAAGGTAAAACTGAGATACTAACGTTAATATAAACGACACACATTAGGTGCCAAAGTTTTCATTTCTAAGCGTATTTTACGGTGTCAAACTCTTCTAGACCTCAGTTTCAAGAGGCAGTTTGGACCTCAGTTTGGCTACATAGTTTACACCGTTCACACAGTGCTATGTGCAAACAGCAACACACATAACAGAAAGCGTACAGTTCCTGACGCTGTTTTCTCAGCCGAGCTTTCCAGTCAGCAAGCTCCACAGCCATATGATGCGACTCTCCTTCTGACATTGGTGTTGAGGCTTTCCTCTGCTGGCCATTGCAACTGTCAGCTCCTGCTGATCTCTCCTGAATCACTGACACTGTCCAATGCTAGCAGGAGAAGAAACAAGAAGAGATGAACCACTCAATAACTGTTCATTTAAAAAAGGTAAAGTCCCCCCCCTCGAAGTGTTAAGCACCAATCCATGAAGAAGAAATGTGTGTGTGAATGTGTGCGGGTGTGGACATATAGATCCATGCATTCTTCATTTTGGCAACTGATGGGGCTTGTCAGCTTCACACCCTGGCCACTTCACTCCCAGGGAAGCAGCTGCTCATACTCACTGGATACTAAGGTGGGTAGTCCCCTGAGACAGCCTAGACATGAATGTCTGCCTCTCCCAGGAATAAGGCTCTGCTTCTGCATTCATCTATCCCACAGCCAAGTCATTATGCTGCTTGAGCAATGCAATATATTTTTACAAAGAGCAGGAAGAGCATACATGCAACAGGTCATCTGGGATGTTTCCAGTGGAATGTGTAGCAACTTTTGTGGGAGAAAAAGTAATTTTTTAACAATAAGGTATATAAATTAGGGTGTACAATTAAAAGTAATCTGAAGATTTTTTGTAGAGTATGAAGGAATTACAAATGGTAAGCATATATGAAAGTTGGAAGGGTATTCTAATATCTCTCACAAGAAAGAGGTGGGGGGGAAAGTAGTGTCTATATTGTATCTGGGTCTTCACATGTAATAAATACTTAAAGAAATAGTAATTTTATAACAACCAACCTGCAAATATTCATCTCTCTCTCGTACTAGCCTTCGAATGTGCATCACCATAAGATCAGGTGGCAATGTTTCACTTATTACATCCTGAGTCAGTACAATGTTATGACTGTCTGTCACCTGAAAGTATACATGTATTTTTTATTTCTTACTTTCAGTTCCAGTTGAAACAACTTTTTGGACATAAGAACAAGAAAGAGACTGTACTGGTATGTATAACAGTGTCCATAAAGAAACACAGATAAGATCTAGACAGTAATGTTGTCTGGTATATAGTTTAATAATTTTCAATGTCAGAAATTCAAAGTATATGTGACTGGCAATGACTTGGGGATTGAACTGATTTCTGTTTTGGATTTTACAGATTTCAAAAACATGGAACTGAATGCCGTGAAAGCCAGAAAAAAAAAAAGAGCCCACTGGAAAGACCTAGAAATATGTGGGAAGATAACATTAAAATGGATCTTAGAGAGACAGAATGGGGTGGTATGGACTGGATTGATCTTGCTCAGGATAAGGACCAGTGGAGGGCTCTTGTGAATACAGTAGTGAACTTTTGGGTTCCACAGAATGTTGGGAAATTCTTGAGTAGCTGAGCAGCTGGTGGCTTCTCAAGAAGGGCTCGGCTCCATCAAGTTATTTAGTTAGTTAGAACTAATTTTATCAATAAATTCTAAGAACAATGAGCTGATGAGCCAAGACTAACCTGCCTGATGCAATCAACAATGGCATGTTGCACTTGAACATCCAACTGTTTAATTCTGTCAATGAACGTCTCCTTATTAGGGCACTGGACAGCGCATCCCAAAAGCAGCAGGAGCAACAGCTGCATGTTCTCCATGCCAGCTTTGCTAGCTGGTTCCCTGCCAAGCGTCACACAGTCTGGGGCCACCAGCAGAACTTGACACAACTCTTCCTGTGCAGATTTACAGGCAAAAAGGTAAACTTGTCCCTGTACTTAATTAAGCATCATGCCATGAAGATGTATAGGGGAATGGGGATCTAATTCAATGTATTCTTAATCTCTGCAGTAGACAGAAGTGAGTGATCAGCTTCATGTCCCGGCTACTTTATCCTGAAGAAAGGGCTCTTGGTGACCATAGGACAGGAGGCTGGGCAGGCCTCAGAGCTCATCTGGAAGCTGTGGAGAAGACTGAAGTCTCTGCCCCTGCCATGAAATGATCCCTATTTCATCCACTATCCAGCCTGTACCCAACTGAGCTCACCTGGATCCTCCTGTGGGAATTTTAGTTTATTTACTTACGGTTTACTTAACAACGTTGGCAGGAGCTCAGATAATATGGCTTCATATGATTACTGAAGAACAAATTGGAATGGTTGTTGAAAGAAGTTATTACGACCTAATTCAAGAAACAATCTGAACACTTCTCTGGCAGGTTTAGGAAAGCAATGAAAAACCTAAGTAAGGCCAACCATTCTCTGTGCTGAGATTTGAAACCAGGACATCCTGAACACACACCACAAGCGATACCCACACAATAGTAATATTCACTTTCTGCATGAAAACAAGGGAATTCTACAACATGTAGTGTACGTACATTTTACTATGGACTAGCATACTTGTCCCACATTGCAGTAGGCTTTGGAATGGTTGCTAGGCAGATATTTACATGCTTATTGCCCAACACAGTTGTATTTCCTGACTGTACTATTCAGTATTCTGATGCAAATAACCAGCTGTGTTAGGCACTAATGTCTATGGTCAAACTGGTGCAGAAAGTGATTAATAGGTCCCGGATCTTTATGCGTTAAAAAGCGGGAAAATATGCACCAAAAATAAAACAATATGCACTTAAGGAGCAGGTCACTTTATTCAGACTCACCTGTTTACATGTATCATTCACTGCAGAAAGTAGCATCACAATAGGCAACTGGAAGTCTTTCAGTGTTTTCTGGAGACAAACTTCGTCTATTGTCCATCAAAATGAGCTTATAGGCTGAGAATGATCTTTCTACATCAAGGGTCTCCAAACGACGGCCCGCGGGCCACATCCGGCCCGCGAAAGAATTGTGCAGAAATGCGCCAATTGAACTAATTTTCCAATGAGTACTGGTAAAAAAATACTTGTTCATAGATTTTAAATTCATTAATTAAGATTGTGTTTAAAATATATTGATATTCCATATTACGTTAATATTAATATTATTCACAATCTTACTAATTCTGGACCGTATACTGCGCGGTATTTCTTTGTACTTGTTCTACCTCAATGGGCAGTGTCACTTCGTGGCAATGTAGGTAGCGCGAGCAGTTCGTTACTAGCCGTCTTGTGCACAAGACTTCTTGCAGTGGTACAGTATAATTGTAACAGATCATCACCACCTCAATTTAATCAGATTTTAAGAGTGCAAAAAGAGTTCCATCATTCACATTAGTTGTTTTATTATAATTTGTGATGAAAATATGAGCATTTGCTGCTACTGTCTGTTGTCATTAATATACGATAATTTATTATCACGTACTTTGTATTTAGTTTATGAAATTCTGTCCTTTCAATAAAACTCATATATCTAGAGTTATTAATTTCTCATTTTATCCGGCCCGTTCAAACTACTGAATTACCTAATGTGGCCCGCATTTCAAAAAGTTTTGAGACCACTCTTCTACATCAACTGACGTGGTTGGACAGTATTTATACACTGGCGCCGAAGGTTCGGAACATTCATCTGGCAAAGATACCTTAATTCCACTCAAGTACTGACTAATTGACTGAATCTTTTTTAGTCCTGGGTTCGATTTCAACGCCTTTTCTAACTTGAATTTAATCTTCTCTCCAATTTCGCCTGGAGCGGAATTCAGTGAACAAATAGCTTTCTGAACGAGTTGAAGTGAGTCGTGAAGGAGTGCACCACAAGATTCTAAGCTCTCAATGGCTTTTGAAACTGTAGAAAAATGTGCATGGATAAAATCACATCTTGATAAACAGTATCACTTCCAAGCACCACTGTTCCTTCACGGACACATGCATACTCATCTTCAACTTTTTAGCCACTTCTTTTACTTGATTGAAATTCCCCTGATAAAATGAAACTGCGGATAACCATGTCCCCCACCTAGTTATAACAGGTTCAGGTGACAGAGGAACCTGAGGTAGGCAATCTTTGTACAACTAGAGACGAGCTGGTGCTTTCAGAAACAGTTTTTCCCACTTGCAATTAAATCGTTAACAATTGGAAAATGTTGGCGTATTTTTTCTGCAATATGGTGTAATCCGTGCGCTAAACAGGTTACATGTATAAGATTTGGATAATATACTTGTAAGGCTCTTGCTGCTTTCAACATATAGGAAGCTCCATCTGTGAGTAATACAAGCACCTTACAACAATTATTCTCAATTTCAGATGGCCATAGTAATCGCAGAGAATCATTTATAAATCTTGCTATTGTGCTATGGTTGGTTTTCTCTAGTACTTTGCAAGCAAGAAGATGAGGTTTGCCGGGTTCGTCTGGATGTAGCTTACCAACTATGAAATTTGTTAGGTATCGGCCACATAAATCGGTTGTCTCATCAACCAATATCCGGACACAGTTCTCTCCGATGTCAGAACGGATTGACTCCAGAGTAGATTCACAGAGCAAAGGTAGATATATTTTTCTAAGAGTTGATTCGTCTTGGATTTTTTTAAGTATCCAGAAATGATCGCAGAACCGGATTGCTTAATTTATTCCATGGAATGTTGCTGCATACTAAAGCCTTACAAAGATCGGCTGAAAATGTATTAACAGAGGACTTGGGTTTGATCTGTGTAAGAAGTAGATGTGGTGAGCTGTTCTTCTTCCCCTTCTTTGCGGTAATATGTGCGGTCGTTCTTGAGTGTTGTTCAAGTTGAAATTTCTCTTCACATTTTACTTCCCTTGCACAAACTTGACAGTACACGACGACACCGTCTGCTGAACAGTCACTATCACCCGAAACCAATCGATTTTTTTAAATATCTACTGCCTCACATTTCTTTAGGCATTTTCAGTGCATGAACACTTTTCTGATGCAGACTATTAAAGTAAAGAGTAACACATTAACTGAAGAGACTTCTCTCAACAACAACCCTCTGATGCTACTGTCTGCTGTGGTGGTCAGTGGAATGCAGGAAAATCCCGCGCCTTCCCTTTCGAAATAGGCAAGCTACCTGCTTGTATTGTAAGTGGTAAAGTGTCATTACTCAGAGAGTTGAGAATAGCAACTGGCAAGGGATGTCCAAAACACAAGCAAAACCGATTTTGTTTGAGAATATTGAAATTATCCTTAATTTCAAACATATATGCACAAATATGCTCTCACGTTTAGAATATGCAATAACGACCAAAAAAAGGTCAAAATATGCATTTGAATATTCGCATATGCATTTTCAAAAAATCCGGGCCCTAGTGATTAAACAAAATTCATGGACGAGCTGAAATATAAACACTCAGAACTGTAGTCATTACCTCATACAGGGCTTTGATGTTCTTAACTATGATGTCCATATTACGTATGCGAACTGACACATTTCCCAAACTTGGAATTACTCCATGATGTGCTGGCTCTGGATCTCTGCATAAAAAACACAAAATATTTCTAATGTATTTTAGCGCCCTGTTTCATTGATTCTCATGCACAGTTCTATCGAGACGGCCGAGCAGAGCGGACGTGTATAGGACAATGCTCCATGAGGCACATGCTTTATAGTGAAAGTTTAGTGAGGTGACCACTGTAAACGTTATGTAACAGTCAAATTGATAACGCGAAAATGCAGCAATATTGCAACGATCAACCAATGAGTGAGCTTGGCACGAGTGATGACAACAGACATCAACAATAGCAACGGCTCCTGAGGCAACCGACCCCACCATCCCAACAGACAACAAAAAGAGTAAACAATACTATCATAGGATGCCATCAACTAGTGAAGATGATGCTACCATCCAGGATTCAAACAAAACCCATGGCAAATGTTAAGAACACAAAAAGAAGGAAGGTAAATCAACCTGTCAGTCAAAACATAACCCTAACAAACAAATATAGTCAACTAAATGTAGAAGATGACAAAAACACCACCACCAAAATAACAGAGAATAAAATCCAGAAACCACCTCCAATATTTGTGTATGGGGTAACAAACTATCAAGAAATGGTACATAACCTGAGCAGCACAGGTGAAATAGAACAGTACACTACCAAAACCTTAGTAGACAACACTGTAAAAATTAACTGTCATACTCCGGACACCTATTGTAATCTTGTACGATATATGCGTGAAAAGAATATTATACATCATACACACCAACTGAAGGAAAATCGTACCTTTAGGATAGTTTAAAACATCTACATTTTTCAACTAACCTACAAGAAATTGTACAAGAACTCAACAAAGAAGGACACAAGGTAAGAAACATCATAAATGCAAGAAGCCAGATGACCAAAGAACCACTTAACGTATTTGTTGTCGATCTAGAGCCTGCCACTAACAACAAAGAAATCTACAAACTAGCAAGACTACAGAAAAGGAATCCCACAGTGCATGCGATGCCAACAATATGGTCATACAAGATCATACTGTAACAAACTTTATGTATGTGTAAAATGTGGTGGGTTGCACAGCACGCAGAGCTGCAAAAAATCTAAAAACACACCTGCAAAATGTGTATTCTGTGGAGGTGCCCATCCGGCTAATTACAGAGGATGTGAATATTATCACAGTTTATTGAAACAACCAAATAACACTAACAATAGACTAAACATCCAACACAACGCACTATCACAAAGTCAACCAGCTCAGATACAACAAGGAATCAGCTATGCAGAAGCCCTCAAAGGGAAGAGGAACCAAGAACCAAACATCACATACCCAGGAGAAGCAAAGGAAAATACAAACAACGACCCAAACACAACTAATTTGTTAACCAATTTTCTTGAAGAATTTAAAGCAATGTTCCAACAACTCACCCAACAAAACAGCATGATATTAAACATGCTTTCAACGTTGATNTCTAATGGGGATCTCGCCTAATAACGACCAGAGGCAGAGAATTATCAAAAACACTACAAAAGCAAAAATATTCGCACTTGTCAACAAGCTGGCTGACATACTGGCCAACAGATCCCAACAAAACCCCTGACCTCTTGGACTTCTTCGTTACTAATGGAATTTCTTCAGAATACATGGATGTGGTACCCAGTTTCGATCTCTCTTCAGATCACACACCAATTATAACCACTGTCAGTAGTCATGCTATTCACAAAACACAAAGAAGTAAACTGCACAATAAAAAACAAATTGGGAAGAATACAGGATGAAACTACAAGATGTAAATCTAAATGTGAGACTCAAGAGCCCAATGGAAATCGACAGCGCACTAACCTCTCTAATCAACACTACAAAACAGGCAACCCAAGGTGCTACACCTAATATCACCTTCCAAAATAACACAAGAAATGTTCCAATTGAAATTAAAAAACTCATAGCTGAGAAAAGAAGAGCAAGAGCAAGGTGGCATAGAAGTCGAGCACCAATAGATAAAACAACATATAACCATATAAGTAATAGGCTGAAGTGTAAAATTGAAGAAGCAAGAGAAATATCCTTCTCTAACCATATAACCAGCCTCAACAGATATGACAATACCATATGGAAACCCATCAAAAATTTAAAAAAGCCCAAGACACAGCTACATCCCATAAGAAATGAAATGGCGCCGCAAACATCGTGGGCAAGAAGTGATGAAGAAAAAGCAGCTATGTTCGGTGAATATATTTCTACAGTTTTTACACCATATGATGATCAGACTGATATAGAAATAGAAAGACAAATAACTGAAAATATCAGCATTATACCAGAAATAAAATTTTTTACAGTTAAAGAAGTGCAAAACGAAATATCACTCTCACATTCAAGAAAAGCACCTGGCATTGACGAAGTGACTCCAATAATATTAAAAGAAATGTCAAGAAAAGGGCTAGTACTTCTCACATACACATATTTAATGCTATTCTCAAACACAAATACTGGCCAAATCAGCTAAAAACAGCAGAAATAATCCTGATCCTCAAGCCAAGCAAAAATCCTAATAGTGTGTCATCCTATCGTCCTATAAGTTTATTACCCACCATATCTAAGCTCCTCGAAAGACTTCTCTTAAAAAGAATAAGGTCTGACCCAAATACAGAAGAATGGATACCATCACATCAATTTGGTTTTAGAGAAAACCACTCCACTGTACAGTAGATACATAGAATAACACACAAAATACACCAAGCAATAGAAAATAAAGAATATTGCACATCAGTCTTCCTAGAAGCAAGTCAAGCCTTTGATAAGGTATGGTATCCAGGACGATTGTACAAAATCAAAAAATACCTGCCCATAACTTATTTCCACTTACTGAAATCCTATATAAGTGGCAGAGAGTTCAGAACGAGAATCAATGATAGCATATCCAACAATTTTGCAATAAAATGAGGTGTACCACAAGGCAGTGTCTTGGGCCCACTACTTTATTTCCTGTATACAGCAGACCTACCAGTCAATGCCAACACAACACTGGGCATATTTGCAGATGATACTGTGATCCTCTCGGCCAACACAGATCCAGCAATAGTTACCTTCACTTTGCAAAATCATCTAAACCAAATACAAGAGTGGACAAATACATGGAAAATAAAAATCAACGAAACCAAGTCAGTGCAAGTAAACTTCAGTCTAAGAAGAGAAAAATGTCCTGCAGTTTTCTTTAATAACATACAAATACCTGAATCACCCAGCACAAAATACTTAGGTATTCATCTAGACAACCGTCTAACCTGGGAGGAACACACTACAAAAAAACGCAAACATATTCATTTAAAAATCAAGGATATGCATTGGTTACTTGGAAGAAAGTCCAAACTCTCATTAGACAACAAGGTTTTGCTTTACAAAACAATAATAAAACCAATTTGGGTATATGGCGTGGAAATATGGGGATGTGCTAGCAAAACCATTATTTCCATAATCCAGAGATGTCAGTCAAAGATATTATGTATGATTACTAACGCCCCATGGTATGTCTCCAATATAACACTCCATGAAGACCTGAAAGTGCCGCTAGTGAAGGAAGTTACAAAAGAGAAAAGCACAAGATACCTGAACAAAATAGAAGGACATGAGAACATACTAATGCAACCGTTAATGGAACCACACAATGAACGAAGACTGAAAAGGAATTGGCCAGCCGACATGAGAGAGGGTTAACGAGGACTTATCTCTGGATAAGCCCTCTCCACGTCACGAAGTATAATAGAGCAAATTAGCTTATAGAATTATATAATTCTGATTGCTAACATTATGTAAATAAAAAAATCTCGTCCATGATATGTATGTATTGGCCGTCTTCTAGTGCACTCAATCTCACATGTCACTTCACTACATGTTTCGGCATCACTGTGCCATCCTCAGGTGTGTNTATACTGTGTCTTGTGATGTGTTCTTTTTTGGCTGTGTGTGTTATAATAATTTCAATACTAATAATAAATAATTTATAAATGACACATGGCGAGCAGTGCAATAGTTTAACGTAAATAACACACCTCAGGATGGCACAGTGATGCCGAAACATGTAGTGAAGTGACATGTGAGATTGAGTGCACTAGAAGATGGCCAACACATACATATCATGGACAAAATATTTCCTTCTTCTCATTTTATCTCTGCTACTAGACTTACACAGTGGCAGTGATTGTGAGCAAGTGTCAAATTACAAATTAATTGGGCTGAGAAAAATAACATGTGACATGTAAATTGTAATCAGGATAGCTAAGCTTTACAATTAAACTTAATATTTTTTTAAGAGATAGTGATGAGTATCCCCCACGCTCTCCTGCTTTAAACCCTCTCAAATTTTAATTGTTGGGGTCGCCGAAGGATGTGGTATATCACAGAAAACCACTGACACTAGAGACATTACAGGAAGAAATTGGAACGCTGTGTGCTGCTATCCTGTGAACACCTTGGCCATGACTGCTCATGCACTAGTCCGCTGAACTCAGTACAGAAGTGTTTACAAGCTAATGGCGGGCACTTTGAACATGTGTTCTAGCCCAACACATGCCACAGACATCCCTTTCTGTCTATATCAAATTTGGATTACCAATAAATTACTTAAGCAGATATTTTGTATGCTGAAGTACGTATACATTGTTTTGGTTCCATTTGGATAACGTTACCAATAAAACACAATACCCGGTTACTCGATGCTGAGCTAAACTACAGAGTCCCTGTTCAAACTGAAAGCAACTATTACACATCATGGCAAGTCTGTACTGTGAATCACTATACACTTGGTCGTCGACTTTCGACCGACATCCGTTCTGACTGACAGGTAGTAAGTCAATCTGGTCGTATGTCAGCCATATATTTATTAACAGTATTTTTTAACCTTTCTAATCTTTTTATCATCTTCATAATTTATTTTTAAAAACTTTTACATTTTAATCATCTTTTATTTTTCATTTTTTTTATGGTCATAAGTGCAGCCAGTCGTAAGTTGATGACCAAGTGTATAATAGTACTAGAGAGTATCACATATGGCATACATTCATTTATAAGCCCATAGCTCACTGAAGGAGTGATCAGTGATCTATGAACATATTGGTAGTATAATTTGTATGATTTGATTGATGTAGGTGATTGTATCTATGAGACTTATGTAATTTTGTATGAACATTATAAAGTGGACTATTTCCATATCCTGAATTGTACCTATACATGGATACATGGAAAATAAATGAATGAATGAATGTGGTGCCCCCATTACAGACTGAGGAGAATAGACTAAGACTAGAATATAGACTAAGTAGATTACCATTTAGCATGTACCATGCAAAAACAGATATTCATTTCTCTCTGATGCACATTATGGTAAGTCAGTTTCACACATGAAAATATTTACGAGAAATACCTGTCTAACTAAACGATGGCTGTTTAGTTTGTCTAAACTGTTTATCCATACGTAATATACCTCATGATCAGCCTAGTGGACAGAGATTTAAATGAGGGTAACTTACATCTGTAGCAGAATTTCATGAATAAGAACCCCATCAGTGAGATCTTCATACTCAGAAAGTCTGTCAGCATTCTCCAAGCAAGAAATGAACTATAATAGAACACAAAGGAGCACATCAGTCTTCAGTTTTGAGACCGCCATTTTAGAAGTACATGAAACGTTCCCTTTACATAAAATAACAAAGCACAGAAATGGGGAGATGTGAATAATTCAAGTAATTTTTTTAATACTAGTGGGGTGGGACTAAGTCCCTTGTACTGCGGCCACTTCTGGCCTATCGTACCAGCCCAAGATGATATGTGAGGGTGATTGTGTAGCAATTGGTGGAATGAAGATTGGCAGGGGAAACCGAAGTCCGCGGAGAAACCCTGCCCCTGCGCCACTTTGTCCACCACAAATCCCACTTGACCAGACCCGGGATCGAACCCGGGCTGCCACAGTAAGAAGCCAGCAACTAACCGCTTGAGCTATGGTGCGGCCATAATTCAAGTAAATGTGCTTTTATACATTCTTTTCAATATGTCATTGACATAAAAAAGAGGGAATAAAGATCCAAAGATTATTTGAATGGTTAAAGTACAAACCTTGAAAACAACTGTACATGTTACAGAGGAAGATGTAAATACAACATAAGAGAAAAATACCTCAGACATCCTGAATGCAAGGGCGGATAAATGTAAACTTTTTATCGATTGTGTATAAGAATTTGTAACTTTTAGACCAATATCATCAGGTAAAGGTAAAACTATCCCTATAACAGGCTGTGAAGGCCCACAGGGTTAGGAGACATCGAGACTCCCACATTTTCTTGACAATCAGCTCACAGATGGCAATAAGTTTGTCAACCTTATGCACCAGCCGTCCTTTACCCCTCAGGAAGATTCCTGGTACTCATTTCTGTTAGGAGCAGAGTTGATCCCAGGGCCATAGTGTGGCTGGAAGTACTACTGAAAAAATCTACCTTATTGTGACTCAAACCCATGATCTTTCAGCTTGTAGCACAGTGCCTCAACTGTGTGCCCCCCAATATCTCATCAAGATGACATAAAAATATTGTGACGTATTTGCGCTATGCAGGACACCCCCCCTCCAGTGGTGATGTAACAGCATTGGAGAAACTGCCGCTGCTACGGTAACAGGCCAGTCAACACTCCATCCCCCTCCCCCGTGGTGACGTAACAGCACTTCCCACAGTGACATAACAGGGGGCACCGCGGTTACTACGCAGCAATAAACAACTCTCGGCAGCGTTCCCCAGCAACGCCTGTAAACATGGAGTTCATGCAATAGTGAAGCGATGTGGGTTTTCCGCTGTCCGACTGAGGGTTTACAAGAGTTACTAGAGAGAGAGTAACCAGTCAGTTGCAGTCTAGCATTCGCCAGAGTGAGCTGAAGTCCATTGTTATTGAGTTGTATCGAGTGAATGGAAGTAACTACAGCAGCAGAAGTAATTGTGATACTGCAGATGGCAGTAGTTGTGAAACTGTAAATTGTGTAACTGTAAGTGCGAGCGGAATAAATTCGCTAGATCCAAAACGGCGTGAAGTTATTTGTCGCGTGACATATACCCAACACGTGACAATATGTACTACTGTGTACAGTCTTTATCAGTTGTAATGTCTTGAAATGCAGTAAAATGACAACTGGAAGAACAATAACATATAACTTTGAATGATATGCCAAGGAATTAATCAGATGAATCGGGGTTAAAGCATACTGGGGTTACTGAAAAAAAAAAATTAATATGTCAGTAATTGTTATAAATAAAATACATTAAACATTCAATTATGTGAAAGCTTAATAAAACATTATCAGTACACTATGTAAGATTTGAGGCTTTCACGGCGGTGACTATGAAGAAAGCAGTCTTCTGGGATTTGGCACCGTGTATATGTGGTGTTAACCGACGTTTCGGAGGAACGTATCGCCCCCATCTTCAGGGTAGAAGAAAAAGTATAAGAA